TTGCAACAACATGACTTTGTGTTTGATAGCAATTACCACCTAAGCCTGGGTTACAGTGATAGAATTTAAGCAGCCACGAACTGTCAGGTCCAGTTGTTTGTTTCCTTTAAAAAAAAAAAATGCTAACAAGAATGCTGCATCTTGTGGCATCTCTGTATCCCAGAGAGAGAGAGTGACAGCTAGCTCTGCAACAGCTTAGGAATGGAACAGGTTGGGAATGGAATCTAGTCTCAACATGTGGTTGCAAAAATTCCTCAAAGGGCTGCTTTGCAGAGTACAGAAAAGATCTTGGTGTATCCAAACTCCTGCCATGGCCCAGAGCTCAGATCCCAGCCCTGACATGATATAGCTGGGAGCTGTTGGGACATTCTGGATAATGATATGGAAATGAGCAAACACCGTTTCTCAAAGATCTGCTCACATCTGTGTACCTAAGTTGTACGTGTGGTTACTATAACTTGTAGGCAGAGGTAGCCAATTTTATACCCCAGTGGTTATTTGCATATGTAAATACCTATTCAGGAACAATCATGGTATGTATGCAAATGAGGCACACAATTGTACACAAACTTGAAAATCAAGTTGCAAGCATCTCCTTTTGCTTTAGAATTTCCACCTCCAACAAAGCTACAAGTGGGAATTACAGCTAGATTACAGCCGGCTGTGCAACATGGACGTGGGTTTCACCTGTAGAACTCATCACTACTGGTAAACCAGCCTGGCCTGGGACTTATTAACTATTTGTACTATAAGCATGTCTACAGGATCCAGCTAACAGTGGGGCTACATTGTGGTAGGGCCTGTACAAACTCATAGCAAGTAACAGCGCTTGTCCCAAACACCTTACATCTAAAAAGACAAGACAAAGGGTGGGAGGAAAGGATACACAGCATGTAAGAGGAGGATTGGGAATTTAGGTAGAAAGTGGTTGAATGCCTTGTCCAAAGTCACAGAGGGAATGAATCCAGGTGTCTAGAGTCCTAGTCTAGGGCTTTCACTACAAGACCATTCCTCCTCTCTGGTGAAGATGAGAATTCTAACTTGCAAAGCACAAAGGAAAGACCCCAATGCAGCCATACCCCCACCTCTTGAAAAGCCCGCAGCTCAGGTATCAACAAAACCTTGAGAATCACTGCTTCCTGCAAGCCAAGGCAGCTGGGATTCTCATCAGAGCTTCTGTTAGCACATTGCTGCTGACTCCCTGTCCATGCCCACTATCAGAACCAGGAGTCAATTTGTAAGCAGCATGGAATCCTGTTGCATGCCTTGGACCAGTGATCTCTGGGGAAACCATGGCAGAAGCGGTCTGCAACAGAATGCTGGGACCAATGGTCCCTGAATTAATTGGAACAAACCTTCAAAACAAAACCTGGCAGCAGTTTGGAAACATAGAAGCTGCAGTTGGCCATTTGCAGTTAGGCATGTTATATCTAGGAGATAATCTGTCCCAATCAGATGAGAACATCAAAGCAGTGTTTTTCCCTATAATAACATTGCTGCAGGGAAGGTTCAGCCCAGCTTTCCACTAATTCCCTGTTTTCAGTGGTTAGAATGTAGCCTTAAAAATCTGGAGCTTAAATGTGACACACAGCTAAGAACAGGCAAACCAGTTTGGATTGTGAGAGTAGCATCTCCCTCCCCATGAACTTTCAGCTCCACAACTGAACTCAAACCTCTTTGGGAGGTTGGAAAAGATTCAGTTGCTTAACTGTTTCTCTCATGATTTTTCATTTTCTTGGCTTTCTCAGCAATTTTGGCTGGCTCCAGAAATGCACCATGCAATAGGGAGTGCCTTTTCATCCAGGGGTTTCTGTGACCTGACTGGAAGCAGAAAGTACTGGAAATAGGGAGAGAATTTTTTGAGATTTTCAGCCCAGTTTTGCTGAACCAAGAGGTGTGAAGAAGCAGCCACGCGTTTTGAGTATATCCCCACAATGAATCATATCTCAGAACCTGTGGACATTCATCCATCTGCGGCACAGTATCCTAGAGGCTGGATTCCTCAGAAGTAAGATGGGCTTCTGTAGCTCTGTCTGCAGATAGGACAATACTAGCATGATAAAAAGGAAGGTGCAGTAGGGATTGGAGTCTGCATTTTAGACATTTGTGCTGGCAGAAACCGCTCCTTTCCTCCACTGCATGGCTTTTATTTTAAACATTTACACCCAGTGGCATTCAGATTTTGGTCAGTGGGATTCTGCTTTTTGTCCTCTTGTCTGAGAGCACAACCATGTCTTGCATTCCAGCTTTGCACACAATCAGGCGATTGCACCGCATCCAAAGCTATTGAGAGAAATTGAGAGCACAGAGAAAAAGCCAAGTGATTGGGATAGACGGGAGCAACTTTTCATGCCAAGATCTTGGCCTTGGCTCTCATCATGCACATGGAAAGGGCAGTTTCCTTTCACCATACACCCTTAGATCACATCAATCTGCCACCCACCATGAAAGGGTTTTAAAGTCAAAGCCAGTTTTAATTTTTCCTGGGTATACCACCATTCAGTGGAAGATGCCTAAACTGCAAGATAGGGGCAGATGCCTGGTACTAGTCCTAGAGTTGCCATGTGGCTACAGTCTGGGAGTTGCCATGTGGAAAGAAGGCTAGTATTAGAGCTGGACACGGCCATGTCTACAGGATTCTGGAGCCCCCTGTTTTGTACTGTTGTGCAAACAGCATGAGGCTTGTGAAGGGCTGACAGACATGCTGTTCTAGTGGTTAGGCAGATACCCTGCTCAGTCTCTGCATAATCTACGTTTATTGCTTCCTGTAGCTATATGGCTGCTGGAGAGCATTTCCAGTACCAGGTATCAGCTACAGAACACTGCCTAGGAGTATGAATAGGATGTTATAACATCATGTGTAGATTCAAAATATTTGAGCCTCCACCCATCCCCATCAACTCCTCACAGCACCTATCTTCCAGTCCCTACACAGATCCAGAGTCTCATCAATCTATGTCAAAGAAACAACAATCATCATCACCATATATACCACATGGCTCTTACCTGTTATTGTACCTGGAGGTGCCCTATAATAGATTACACAGTGCTTTTCTTCTTCACGACCCCATGCAAACATTAATCCTCACAACACCCCCCCACCCCCCCGAGAGAGATATTATCTTCATTTTATAAATGGGGAGACAGAGGCAGAGCAGTTAAGCGACTTCTCCTTGGCCACAGAAGGAATCAGTGGTGGGGCTGGCATTAGAACTTAGAAGTTCCTGGGTCCTAGAACTGAGCTCAGGTCACACTTCTCTTGTTCCTCAGACTCAACTCTGCTATCACTGGAACAGAGCAATTGTCTGTCAATCTTACAGGAGCGCCCAGCCCAGACACAGGGCTATCAATTTTTCTCAGACATTGCTTCCATTAGAATGGAACCCCCAGGCAGACTCATAAAGAAGATGTGTTCGTGTACATAGAACACCATGACCAGATGCCATCAGAAAAAAAAAGATTTATTAGAAATAGTACACAGATTTTGCATTGTATCTTTTAATAGTGTTAATCTTTAAATACATCTGTAAGAGCATGTCCAAATCTGACAATGCCTAGTATATACATTCTAGTGTGCTCTTTGTATAAATTAGATCATGGATGTAACAACTGTATCCAATGGACAGAGCTAAAATTACTTGACTATTAGAGATGGTTCTTCTATTTGGCAAAATTCTAGTCTGGGTCTAAACCAATAAAAATGCTGTGCCCAGCACTGCCCTGTGAAAATTGGCACACGTGCAGGTGAAAAATGAAGAGATCACCGGCTGTGCAAAATGTTAATGGTGGGTAGATTGCTGCCTGGACTCTACACTGTGTAGGTGGCTGAGCCTAAATAGCACTAGAGTTGGTGGAAAGCAATTCCAATTTGGAAAGGTAGACGCTATTGCCAACTGTGTGAAATGTCTTAACGCTTGTAACCCGAGTCCTGTTAGGCAGCAAGCTCTCTCTTGACAGGAACGCGCAGGGTCTTATCCTCCATAGACGGCATTTCAGACACATGGAATGGCTTTGCAAACAGTGGGCCTCCCTGGACATTTGCTGAAGGAAGCTTTAGTACCATGACCAGGGAAAGCTGAGAAAGGTACAAAATCTGTAATTAGATGAGCCAACTTCTCTCCGGTTCTTACCAACTAGAAAGTGAGAAAAAGGCAGTCACTGAAACTAAGGCTAGATTTAGGGTACCCATGGGGGTCACAAATCAAACAGAGGCGACCTATGGGTTGCCCCTGCAATGTGGTGGCATTCCTATACTGACAAAACCACCAACAGAAGGAAGGAGGTTTGAGGCAAAGAAGATATGGCAGCTCCCATCAACTTTTCAAGAACTGCTAAAACCTGCCAAAGGAAGCAGGAATGGGTGTAGCTTGCGGGGAGGAACCTGGAAAGTCAAATTGCATTCCCAGAAAATCAGCCTGCAAAGCAAGCAGCACAGGGGACCAATCTGTTCTCCTGCTCTGTTCAGCTGCCTTTCATAAGCAGAGAAAAAGAAGCCAGTTCTGCTGTGGCCCCCTTCGAGTTTCTTTGAATGTCACCGGCTTTGGGAGCTCAGAGCAGAAATCTGGCAAAGCCGGTGACATTCAAAGAAACTCGAAGGGGGCCACGGCAGAACTGGCTTCTTTTTCTCTGCTTACGAAAGGCAGCTGAACAGAGCAGGATAGCATGATGGTAGTGATAACTAAAAGGACAGACCACACGCTGACAGCTGAAGGAAATTCCAGACATCAAGACTTCTGAGGCCTCTACTATCTCACACAGACCCAAACACTTCTGCCCTTTCTCTTTCACACATCCTGTACATTCACTCAGCTTGTGCATGTCTTCTGAAACAGCACATCAGCTTCACTATAAATCCTCTCCTTCCCAGAAGGCCCAGACCCTGGGCTGGCTTCCCAACCCCCTCTTCCACCCCATGGCTCATCTCTGCCTTCCCCTCCCATGACATGAAATACTTCGTGCTTTTTATGTGGGATCAGTGACTTTGTGAGTCAGATCCTATACTTTCCAGCCACTTTGTTTCCTCTCTTTCCTAGTAGCCATTGTGCAACAGCTACACAATGCGATCCCTTCAGCCAAGGCTCCTGGAACTGCAGCTCAACTGTCCTCTTCCCCACCTTCCTCAAGAGCTAAGCCAAAGTCAGCAGTTAGGATTGACTTACATGTCTAGGGACCTGCTAAAACTAACTAGGCACATGCAGATGTGCACAAGTGCAAAAGAGTGAGCATCATATATCTGGGGAGCATACAGTGTGGTATAAAGGTTTCATCAGCGCAAGTTGGGAATGGTACTTTCCTCTGAAGAGGTAAAGCCACATGGGAGTTATGCAGAGCATGACTAACTCCTGCTGATAAAAACCTTTATCCAAACCCACACCACCAGGCATTCTGTATAGGACTATTCTAAGCATGTGTTAGAGGCTTCTCCAAAATGCGACTGGGCTATTTCTTAAAGCCAGGAACCTGAGTTAGCAAGACCTAAATGTTCAAAAGCAACTAGGAGTCTTAGGAGCCCCAATTTCTGGGTCCCCACTTCGAGACACCTTAGAAGGGGCTTGTTTTCAGAGGGTAGATGCTCAGCACTTCCTGAAAATCAGGCCAGTTCCAAGTGTCTCATCTTGGACACGCAAAAATGGAGGCACCTCAAATCACTAGTCACTTTGAAAATAGAAGCCCAGGATTGAAGCTGTGCAAAGCTCAGGGAGATAGAAAACTTAAAGCTATCACATGTAAAAACTGCTCAAATGACCTAAAAGAGCTTTCTAGACCTAGAAATGTCAGGACTTCAGAGATGGATTTTTTGGGACTTCTCATGCCTGGAAGGGAGCCCTAGGTCCTAGTGAGAAGTTAGGAATCTCCCCTCTCCAGTGGCAAAAGACTACAATTGCTAGCCTTCAGGGCTCAACAATATTTTAGAAGAGTGATGCCTTCATCTATAGAATCATAGAATATCAGGGTTGGAAGGGACCTCAGGAGGTCATCTAGTCCAACCCCCTGCTCAAAGCAGGACCAATCCCCAATTTTTGCCCTGGATCCCTAAATGGCCCCCTCAAGGATTGAACTCACAACCCTGGGTTTAGTAGGCCTATGCTCAAACCACTGAGCTATCCTCCCCCCCCCCCAAATCCTACCAGAATCCTACCTTGTACTGGGCATGGAGCTCTGGTATTTTTGGGGAGAGGGAATTCCAAAGCCACAAGGAGCCTGAGAAAACATTTCCCTGGCAAGTTGCTTGGAAAAAACAAAACCAAACCCACAGCAACCATCTGAAGCTGTTGAAGGATTTGGAATGTTAGAATCAATTTTGCGGCTATGGATTAGAATAAATGCTCGAATAAGTCTCAGGGCAAGTGTTGCTGTCATCACTCCACAATAGATGTGTTTATCACCTGTCTGTGCAGTGTCTCACAGGCAGCACGGGCACTTCTGGCCAGTGTGGGTTAAAACTACCTTTTTGGAAAGAGAGGATTTCTGGCTCTAATGTGCTGTCTGGAGTCTGGGAATGAAAACTGTGCTGCCATTGTTCTCACCTCTTCACGAACCTCATTCAAAACCCACTGAAGCCAAGAGAAGCCCTTCTGTTGACTTCAGGGGGCTTGGGTTACACCCCCCTGAGAGAATATGAACTATGCTTCGGGGAGGGCAGAGCGAGGGAATAAGAGGAACCTGCTGCATCCATACAGGAGTGGAATTCCACAGTATGGAGCCCTTCACAAGTGAATATTTCTTACCAACCAACTTCAGAGTTACACTTCTGCACCCTCTTATGAAAGCATAACTGGAGACCCAAATTGAAGCTTTTAAAATGGCTAAATCAGTACATTCCATGTACTCTAAGGCCACCAAATCCAACTATGCAACACACTTGAAAAGGAATTTAACCTAGACATTTAAATTAAAAGGAAAACAACTTCAGTTTGGGAATACGCTGCAATGATGCTCAGTCCAACTGGGACTCTGGGCAGCACCCACAGCCTGGAAAGCTACATGAGCACACCCACGAAGTGTCAGGAGCTTGCGTTAAGTTTGTCCACTTCTTGTTCCTGTTATAAGGACTCTCACAAGTCTCTTGGAGACTTTCATTCCTCATGCCTTTCATGAAAGATAGTTATAAACTGGACTTCTGTCACCTCCTCTGTTCAGTTTGCTCATTGGCCAGGGCCATTCCTCTCCCCCACACACCCCTCCCCCAATCCTGACTACATCATTAAGGAGAAACAAATTGAGCAACAACAAATACATTTAAGAGATTAAAGTCTCCCTTTTTGACACTGTTCCAAAGCTTGCAGCCTCTATCAGGACCTAGATTCAACTGTTGCTGGCTTAGTCTCCTTCTGCTGAGACAGCTGGCAACAAAACAGACATCCAGTCCCATGACAACAATCGTAAGAATTACAGGAAATGACAGAAATAGACCCCCATCTTGGAACACTCTTAAAACTGGGATGTTTTAGGCCTCCTTGCCAATACAGTCCAGGCATAACATAATCAGCCCCTCCTCTCCCTCAGGATTAGTCCAACTGCTTAAGTTCTGTCCTTGCTTCAGATCCAGATAAATGCACTTGCTGTGTTGCTGAATGTACCAGGTAGGTTGCACCTACTGGGCTGCTGAGTCTGTTACGTGCCTCCCAGTAGTTATTTGATTTCAAAAGGTGATAGCAAGTGTGGTGGGTGACCAGCACTTAAGACCTCCTGAACATACCAACCTCTCACCCTCAGTACATGCAGGGAGTGAGTTCTGCAAAGGATCAGACTTTTAAACTAGCCTATTCCAGGAACAGGAGCACCTCACATACCTGGATGCTTCCTATAGATTTTGCATGGGACTGAGCTGTGCCGTCTGAGCACTACCCTTTAGGTGATTTCATGGCCAAGTGGTCTGACTTCCCCTTGGGTGCAGGGTCTACATGACAGCAGCCTGACCCTTCCCTTCTCTCCTCCCAGCTCTTGGAAAGCTGCCTTGGGCACTGTAGTAGCACCAGAACCACATCCATTTACGGACAAAGCTCATGGAAAGAAGGGCTTAAATTAGAGATATTTAGGAAAAACCAACAAGATCCAAATTCTAAATGTAAATCCAAGGCTGGGGATTAACATTTATCACTAGGGAAGAACTTAAGTTTTTTAAAATGAGAAACCCAAGGTTTGAAATGTGCTGCTTGTGGACTCTAGCATTGTATCAAGCAACCAAAGCACCTTGATGGGAGACAACAGCAAGTGAGTGCAGGGCACTTGCAAAGCATCAGAAAGCTGAAAACACCCAGCTTCTCCATTGAAAACACCTGTTTCTGCCTCACTAGAGCGGTGAGTTAGAACAGGGAGCACGCTCTGTTCCCTTAGGTAAGGGAGGAGAATGACCCCTAGCTGCAGGTGATTAATATTCATGAGGCATCAGGACTGGGCCACAAGGTTAAACATTGTAAGTAAACAACCATTTTCTTTTATCAGCACAATGTGGGTAGGTGGGTATATTCTTTTATCAGCACAATGTGGGTATCACACACAAAGAGCACATTCTGAGAGACCATCTGAGAGCAAATGGCTTACCCGGCCTGCCTTTGACTTCCTTTTTTCCAAGGGGTTCTTACTGCTTCTCACTAGCTCTGAAGATTCAAGTTTATGGGGCCAAATACAAAGAGGCATGTACAGTGACAAATTAAACACTGCCTTATGCCAGGAGATATCAGCAGGATCGCTGGGATCCCATAGGCTTAGCTCTGGCTTCAGTGACAGAATGAAGAGTTGCCAGCTATATTCGCTGTAACTTACGGAATACAGTTGCATGTTGCTATTGGTATTAATCTCTTGTGTGTTCTTTGACGCAGTAACCTCAAGTCTAAACATACAGTAATAACCTATGCACTTCACTTCACTGCCCAGGGCACAGCTAACAAGGCCTTCTGGGTAGTAAGTAACAAGTATTTACACATTCTTGCAGATTACTCAGGAACAACCTGGAGTAATGAGTTTACTCTACCCAAACCTGCCGCAAACGTGTAGCTCGGAGAGATCACAGGTTACTCAGGTTTAACAAGTCACTGCCTGGTTATTTGTGCCTTGTGTAATAAAACTAACTAGTTGCATTTGCAGCACTACAGAAATAACTGTAATAACCGGCGCAGTCAGCTGGCATGTATCAGGGTTCTGGCTCCCTACAAGGTTGATCACTGAAGCAATGGGGTGATTTTTCTCACAAATCAAAGCGGTGACCTTTGTTCGACCAGGAACGGAGTCACCGCACCTACTGGTTCCCTTTTGTACCTCTATGGCTGACTGGTGATAGCACATGTGATGGCCTCTGAGTCAGAAAAAGATCCTGTTGCAGACCCTGCAGACTGACCTAAGTCAGGCAACCTAGTGTGTCTGTTTGTCTTCGTGTGCCAGAGTAAGTCAATCTCCGGAAGCGTGAGGCTCTACACGCACTTGTGTGTGTGTGTGTATCTGTCTTGATGCGTATATATAAAACATATGGGGAAAGGAGGGGAGAGAGGGACTCACTTGTGTGTTAGAGGAGCACTGTTGTCAACTGGCTCATTAACAATACTCTGCCAGCATCCCTTGAGTGCCAGCATTACTTGAGGCACTGATTTACAAAGTACATGTTGCATTCACTTCGTTCTGTGGCAAGTCTCCAGCTGGCAGAGTCTGATTTGAAAGGCAATCATTATCAAGCACAAGGGCTCATCTTCAGAAATATCCCACAATGGCAGAAAACCCTTTGTAGTTTCCATATTGAAATAAACTTACTGCTGTATTTGGTTTGTAAAGGTAGACAATGGATTTTTATTTGGTTGCAGTCCGAGGTTACTGAGATGTGATCAGAATTGTGGAAGAGCTTTCCTTGCAACCTAGGAGCCTCGGTTGGCTCATGGAATAGAAAAGAGGTGATTTTTAAAGTGATCAAGTGCTTCCGTGGCATTCTTCAGTCTCTTCCTCACTTCTGCCCACCTTCTGCTCTGGGCTCAGGTCTCAAAGTACTTGTAAATCTGGGCCACGTACTGCATCACGCTCTGCCAGTCTGGCCGGTCTGTGTACATCATCTCACTGAGTTCCTGCACAGGACACAGAGAGGGTTAGCAAGGGGGAAAGAGTTTAAGGGTAACACTGGGTTTGGGGTCCTGAAACATGCGTTTTCCTTTTCAGCGACGGTCTGTTGTGTGGGCCACACCCCATTGCAGAGATACATGCAGAACAAAAAAATCTTGCCATGGCACTGATCTCCAAGGAACAACATGGGCTGTTTGGAAAAGAGACCTATTGCAGCAAACTAAATGTGTCTCTCAGCTTGTGAGGCATGGAGTCCCCTGAATAAAGAAATTACAAGCTGCCAACACAAAGTACAAGCAGCTGAATACAAAATACAATGTACAGCCACTAGAATTCAGGGTAAGAGGAAGACTAAAGATCCCTAAGAAGACTCTTGTAATGAAGATAATTTATACAGTGCTCCCTCCCTCATCTCACCAGAGTGCCTGGGATACTTTAGAGCAGATAAGAAACCAATGATATTATAATGAACCTAACAGAATAAGTATTTCTCTTTCTGTACAAGCAAGTTAGGCAATGACAGAGTCTTGCTGATCTGTGTCAAGGGAGCAAGGCCATTGACTGCTGGAGAGCTAAGCACCCGCTCCTACAAGTTACATATACCTCCAAGTATTTTCAGATTTTACAGTCACCACATATTGTGTCTTCACTAGGTTACTTCTTATCTCCCTAGGTCCCCATTCAGAGTAAAGCCTCTTGTAATAAAAGCCTTTTATGCATTGTTAGGGTAAGAAAACAGAAAGAATCCCTGAACTGGATCTTCACCTCTCAAAGCTAATTTGCCATAATCATGCTCGCATGTTTCAGAGCTGATGTCTGTTGCCTGATTTGTAACCATCTCTTTCGGTGCAAGATGCCTGGGAGAGTAGCAAGTTCTCACACCCATTCAAAAAAACAGCATTGTGAGGAGCTACCTGATTGAAACAGTCCTTTTGCCAGGAGAGCTTATTTTGTTCAGGGGACTAGTATAAGCTATAATAGCCAAAGAGCTCTTGCCGGCATAGCTGTATCTCCACTAGGCGGGCTCGGTAAGACAGCCACACTGGCAAACCCTTTTCTAGTGTGAACAAGGCCTTAGTCGGTGTGTGAGATCTTACTCATTCTCAGCTCTGTTGTGCTCGAGCAATCCCAGTGGCTTCCAGACAGTTGCACCCATATAACTGAGACAAGTACTTGGGCCTCTCTTTAATTAAGCCTCCTCAATTAATGTTTGTCCACTACTCTGAAAATATAAAGCACTAGATAAAGGCTAAGTAGTATTAATATCTTCTTAGCTTCACTGCCTTGGGATTTAAGGTTTCTGTGAATTTCTGGAGAAAGTGGCTTTCTGATCTCCAACCTTCTTAGCTGCCCAGAGCGGATGCCAAAGTCTTCACATTAGATCTTAATAGAATATGATGGGTCTTGTCTTAGCCACAATAGAGAGCGCAGGCTATTCCCAGAAATAACAGGCCATCTATTGGATGTTTATATGCTGGCAAAGTTTTATGGGAGCAAACACCAGCCAAGCCTAATTAATAGAGCTGGTTGGAAAAATTCTGACAAAAGAGTTTTTTGCTGAAATTTACCAATTTGTCATAATTGAAATGTTTCAATTTTGACCTAGTTCCTCCAGAACCCATGCAGTTTTCTGTGAGCTCACCCACCTAGCTCCTTGGCAGCCCAGATTTCCAGTGTCCATGGCTCCAGGCACCCAGCCTGGCAGACTGCCTTGCATTTGGGAACCACAGGGCTTCCAGTATTATGGCCCCAGGGCAGCCAGCCAGCCAGCCAGCCAGGCTGCCCTAGAATCACGGGACCTGAGGGCTTTCCCTTTCAAAGAGAATTTCAAAATTTGTGGTTTCCGTTTCTAATCAGAATGAAACCAGATTTAAGAACCTGAAAATCGGCAAACCTTTACTTGCCTAAATAAAGAATACTAAAAAGGGGCTTGTCTCAGGCAGCTCTGTTTGAATTTGGTTCCTGGGGGGGGGTGGGGAGAAGATGAGGGATGCTATTCTTCAATATAAAATTTACATCTCAGAGGAGAGCGCTCAATACCCTGCCAGCTTGTGTGTTTCACACTGACACACAGCAGAGCCATTCTGAGGACCACACAGCTGGGCACACCGGACACTTGAAATGAGACAATTGTGTAATGTGGTTCTCGCCCTTTCCGTCGTGAGAAGTTGGTATTCAGGCAACATCTTAGGAGCCTTTCCATTAACGTGGGGGATGGGGAAGGGTGAACAGCAATGTAAAGGGGATGCAGTCTGAAAAGGAAAATAAGTCAAAGGCACTGTAACTTGCTGAAATAAACAAGTTACAGCTCATGTCCAGATGCCTCAAGGTGCTCTGAGGAACTCTAATGCATCTTCATTACAGATGAAGGACCCAGTCCTGCACATATGGGGATATTTTATTTCTGCCGGTGGTCCTAGTGAAATCAGTAGCACTGTGTATGCAGCATCAGGTCTCACCTCACTAGCAGACAACATGGCTGTCTACAGGGACTTCAACAGACCAAAATAACACTGGGGAAATTTCCCTCCCCTGGGTAGGACTTGAAGGAGAGTTGTCACCTTTAAAAAAATACGTATGCAACCGACCTGCTTGCTTCCTCTCTCACAGCAGAGAGCTGCTAAGCAAAAGCCCCTTTTGTACAGGCTACAGTAGGGAAATTTTGCAAAAATATCCCACTGTTTTACTGGGTCAGCTCCCCCAGTGCTATGAGCACTGGGATCCTTAGGGTAGACAAGTCTAATGCTAAGGCTCTCGTTCAGTTCCAGAATTAATTCAATTAGAGTCTTAAACTGCATAACAGTCAATCAAGGCTATGCATTGGCCTAATGTATTTGTGAGGCTGATAATAGTAAATGCTCCAAGTAGTGCCAAGGCACAAGCTGATTAGACAGCCAGATGAATCTTATACCCCATAAGGATCTCTTCAATCTGCACTGAAGGATTAATTCTCTATGTATGGTTATTGTACTTCAAATTTCTGCTCCTGTGTGCAGACACATGTTTCCGGTTCCTTATTTAGCTCAAGAACCCCCTAAAGATTTAACCTCTGCGTAGTAATCTCCTTGTTCCATGTTTGCTGTCACGCTCTTGGCTCTACCCAAGACATTTTAAAACAGGGATTTTAGCATTTTCCTTCTGGTTGTTAAACCAGTAATGCAGCTGGTTGAAACACGGATTGACAGACAGACATGGGGCTTTCCCACACATAGCGGTGGGGTCACAGCAGGAATAGCTGACTGTAATTAACAACTTCATATCAGCAGTTATGCCGGCTGGGAAGTGCTTCTCATGTTAAGAACTTTCAGACTAGTGGCCTAGGCACTAGACTGCACTTTTCCTTTAACACTTCTTGAATGTTTTTAATGGGAATAAATGGGCTGCATTGTAAGGGAGGATTTAGATCTATGCATTCAAACCCCCTTCCCCTCCTCATCCACACACCCTGCCCAGAACCCAGGTACTCACCAGACTGGGTTTGATGCCCACACTTTCGGCAGCTTGAAAAGCCAAAAGCAGATTTCTTTTCTGTGAAAATAAGGCATGAGACACCACCATTAAGCTTAGCACCAAAGCAAGTTCTCTACTCCTGAATCCTGCCATGGGGTTGTGGTGTTGAATTGGTCCAAAGGAAAAGATGTATTTGAAAAATGAGCAAATATCAGACTTAAGATCTTCCAACAGACAAGCTGTGTCAAGGCTCAAGATGAGAAGAGCCATTCATACTAAGTAACCAGTCTCCAAAACTTAAGGAATCTACAGTCCAACAAACTCCTCTGCAGCAAGGTATGGTTTCTCAAAGTTTGCCCTGGTTGTTCGAGTGGGGTTTCCGTAAAGAGCTGACATGAACTGAAAAATCAGGGAGAATTTTCTGTTTTGAGGGAATTCTGCTTGTAACTGATCTTTTCGCCCTTTCTTTGTAATTAGGAATGTCCTCATGCCAACAGTCTCTCTGTCTCTGAAGAGTTCATCTACTGTTGTTGAAGCAACAATCCACTGTTTGTAACAATGGAACTTGTTCTTGTGAAATTGATTATGGTGCCTCAAGGAGAAGATTGTGATTTCAGATGGATAAATATGCTGTAGAAATAAAGGCTGAAAAGTGAGAGAGTCAGAACCCGCTAACAGACAAGGAAATGGTGACTCAATTCAAGGCTTTGCTGAGTTGTCCCAGGAGGCATCAGTACCTAGATAGGCAATTCCACTGGGACTGTGTGGTGGTGGGCAATTTATAGAAAACTTTTAAATTGGGAATAACCACCTTGTTGTTTGCCTCAGTGAGAAATATCTCAAAGCACCATGAGTGTGGCTAAACACCGGCTCAGAGAGAGAGAGATCAAGAGAGGGAAGATCCATCTTCATGAAAATAGTTCTTATTTATCTCTGTAGAAAAGGCAGGTGGGAGGCTGTAATCAGTGACCTGAACAACATTATTAGAAATGGGCCTAAAAAATCCCAGGTACATGAACATTTGGGGGGAAATTCAGATCTAGTTCCCAAATTCTCAGCTGAGCCCTAGCCTTATTATCTATCAAACCAAACCTTGCATCCAAATATCCCAAATGTCAGAAAGCCTATAATCCAGAGCTGGACTTTGTGGCATAGGTCCACCTTTAAATCACTGTGATTAATAATTATTACATGGATTTCTAAAGTGTCCATCCCTGTAGTGTCTGGGCTCTCAGATTACGATCCTATTTGACTGCAGTACGTACCATGTTTCAGACACTGTTCAAACGGATTACACGTGATTTGCTTGAAGAGACCACAGGAAAGCTTTTGTTCCTGGGGCTGTCCCCACAGTATCTGATTCATCCTTTCCTAAGGCAGGAGTCTTGGCCCTGTTCTCCCACTCTCTCTGTTTTTGCTTGATGGAAAGTTCAAACCCAAGCAGGAAAGTGCAAGATTTTGGGTAGATTCTGATAAGACTGAGTCATTCCCTGTGGTTTCATTGTCATCTAAAGCCTGGAAAGTGTATGTGGGGTGGGAGGGAGGAAGGGGGAAACTGTGGTCTCTAATCCACTGTCTGATCAACCAAAACCTCTTCTCTTCTGAAATGTCAGCCAACATTAGGTCAACTGAGCAAGGTGCTTGCGGTTTTTATCACCTCTCTCTACAACATGCTCAGCTGTCATTTTCCCATCTGAGGAGATGATGACAAAAACTATTAGCAGACCCCGCAGCACCTCCCACCTCCCAAAAGAGGTGCTGCTGTTGTTGCACTAACTTACTCTTCCTCTCCTCCCATGTAAAGTTTGCAGCTAACCATCGTTGGCCTAAGGGGAAATCTTGAACCCAGGTTTCCCACATGGCAGCATGTAGTACTAGCTCCTAACCCCGGATGGCACGCCTCAATCTTCAGCCTCTGAAGCCTGTAGCTTTATCTACTAGGGTATACGCTGATAAAAACTATTCTCCAGTTGAATGGTACTAGGTGCTTCAAGCAGGGAGCACCTGGGCTTGGTCCCTGTCTTGGGTAATGTACTTTTTGCCCCATTATACCAGTCACCGTAAAGAAAACCCTTAGCACCTTCTGCTACTTGTTACAGTTAATGAGCATGCTCTCTGTGGCAAATGGAACAATGCAGCTGACATATCTATAATGAGAGCACATCTAGGACCTACCCATGCTATGGCTTAGGAGACTTATAGCTTGGTTTCTCTGACAAAGCTAGAATCTTACACATCCATAGCACATAACCAAGTCCTAGATATATAACAATGCTCTTGGGATTTGCCACAGAACACCCTTTGAGGCTTGTATCTGCTTCAGTCCTTTCAAAGGAGTAATGGACCCTCTCCAGTTTCTGTTAGATTTGCTAATAGCCAATTCCCTGTTAATTTGACTTTGCTCCTACACTTTTGTGCCTCTGGGCATTTCTTCTTTCATAATGAAAGGAGCCTGAGCAGTCTTCCTCCAGGAGTCTCCTCTACTCCTCCCACACAGGTAATAAAGCTAATCTGCATATCTAGCCATTTCAGTGTTCTTCCACCTCATGACATACTCTCCCAGCAAAGGGTTTTCTCAAATAAGGACTGTCCAAAGGGCAGGTAAAGCCTTTAAAAAACAAAGAGCTGATATCAACTGGTTCTGGTTAGCTCTTTTCAAAGCTCTCTGGGCTAAGTCCTGACACCGGGCACACTGGGGCTTTGTCTTCACTGGTGTTAGCTAATTTGTTAAAACCCTAGTGTAGACAATGTAATTGGTATTGGTAAACCTAGGCTTTCCTGGTTGAAAACCAGATGCCTGGCAATCCTAGTTGAAATGCTTTTTCTTTTTGACATGCTATTTTCCCAACTGCTCCACTGAGTGATCTCTTCGCTGCACTGAGTCAGTATGGTAATGCTCACAACCTGTGTCACTGGAGGGGAGGAGGCACAGGGGTAGAGCAGAAGAACAGATCGCTAACTGGAAAGCAATGTCCAAAATTCCCAGCTTGACAATAAACATTCTCTTTCCAACTGATTATTTCACATTAAGGCTGGAACTCCATTGACATCTTGGAGGACCAAAATATGCAGCTGAATTACCAAAACACTTTGTCCTCTGAGGTGCCTGGGTTCTTTACCAGTAACTGGAAGGGAGGCAACTCCACAGATCCACACTCTTAGGTTAGTAGGAGCAATGGGAGGTGTTTGTGGTAACCTTTCAAGGGGGTGCTTTTCTTCTTCATGTGGGCTTGCAACACCCACTGGACTTAGCCACCTGGCAGCCAGACCTTAGGCAAGACTTAACCTGTTGGAGCCCCCTCTCCTTGCCACTACTGTTCTCCTCCTTCTGTTTTTTTCTTATTTATTTGTTTTTTAGGGTTTTAATTAATTTATTTTCTTTCCCTTTTGTTTTTGTTTCCCCCACCTAGTCACTGTATCTGTCTGAACACTATAACTTTTATACCAGGTCTGCACCACATCACCACAACGAAAGGCCTTCCCCGGGAATCCTCCTGCTGCCGATTGAGAATCAACGCGAAGCATGATCAAGAGCAGAGCTAGCAAGACTTACTTTATCCTGGCCATTGAGCTCCTGGTACGGAATGTGTGCAGGCAGGTAGGTGTGGAGGAGAGCGCAGAAGGCCAGCCCATCGCTCCAGCTGCTGCTGAAGTTGGTAATGTCGATGTTCTGTGGGAGGAAACAACAAAAACCATTACTAAGCGGTGCTAACATCAGGCAATGGCCAGAGTGAACAGCCCTTGTAGCCAGTGAAGCAGGGCAGAGTCAACATCAACATAGATACAGAAGAACATGAGGGATAAGAGGTGGCTAGAAAGACTTTCTCTGAGCTCTGAAGCTACGAAATTCTGCCCAGCTGAGTGGCTAGGGCCTTCTTGTAGCCATCCTTATGTGCAGCTGGGGGGACGACAAGCTTCCTGGGTCAAGACGGAGAGCTGATGTTGGAACCCTAAGGCTACTATGGGCTGCGCTGCAGAATTCTCTGAGCTGCATCTGGCCTGCAGGCTGCACCTTGCCTAAGCTTCTTGAACTGTCCCTTTGCGGGGCATTGCCAGTCTCCGTTCATTACGGAAACATTGCGTTACTTTTTCATTTTTTCGCTCTGTTCTATATGAGCACTGGGCACATGAGGAATCCAGGTGGCTGGTTTCAAACACCTGGGTGGAGCTCTGTTAAAAGTTAAGCTGGTCCCACATCTGATCGCAAACAAGGGAAGTATCTGCCGCTTTCCAGAAGGTAAGAAATGCCTTGTGCAGCATGAACCGTGGCTGGGGTTTTGCCTGCCCTGCCAGGAGGAAGGAATTTTTTCAGGCCTATCTGTATAATGGTCTGGCTCAGCTGCATCCCGTGCACCCCCTCATGGCCTAGGATCATGCTACAGGCAGCCTGTCTCAGTTTCCCCTCTTGGACTGTTCAAAGGAACTTCACTTCAGGCTTTTTCTTGGTCAAAAAATATTGCTCCTTGGGGACTGTTTATTAATATAAAAGAAACTGTAACTAAAACTCAGCCCCCCAAAACAAAGTCCATTCATAAAGCCACACAAGCCAAGGTTTCTCTTCTTCCTCTAAGGCCTTGCTGCCTGGGGCCTTTGCAGTCCCTCGCCTGCCTGGTCAGGGTCTCTACCTACCTACCTGGAGCGCTTTCCTCACTTTCAGCGGAGTCTGCCACAGCTTCCTGAGCTTTCCCCCTTCATTGCAGCCTCCTGCTACTCTGTAGGGCAGTCATCCCAATGTTTTCCAAGCATGGCTCAGTCTATCCAAGGTTGGCTAGCTCCAGCCCATAAGGGGTGAGCCACCCTGTTATACTGACCTTGTTGCAACAGTTCAGACACAATTTCGCCAACATGTAAAATCAAAAGTCACCAATACTGAAAAACACTATTTTGTAATCAATTACAAGTTGCCTTGTAATAGGGATGCTTGTGGGGAGATGGATTTGATGAACAGTGAGTTGGGATAGCTAGTGCATTTGACCACACCACCTTCCCAGCCCTACTTACCAGACCCCTGCTTTAGTGAGGATGTGTGATTAACTCCTAAAAGTCAGCTCAGTGTGGTGGCATAAAGGGCCATCAATTGATGAAATACCAAGCTAGTTCTTAAGCCCTAAATAAATAACATGCTTGTTCATTTAGCTCAAGGATGCACAAACTTGGCAACACTAAAGGCTGCATTGGCAACTCTCCATGAGCCAGGCAGATGTAGCTGATTTACATGAATGCTTGCTTGTATCTTCATATTCTGCACACAGACAGCACCTCCAGCTCAGGGTCACAGAGTACTTTACAAAGGTACATAAAACGTTACCTCCTGTGAACAGGTGGGGAAACTGAGGCAGGGTTAAGTGATTTATCTAAGGTCACACAGAGACAACAGCAGTTAGGAATAGAGCGTAGGTCTCCTGACTCTCCCTCTCATGATCTAACCTAGTTCTTCCTGCAAAAGACCAGTCTCCCTAGAAAAACTAGTCAATGAAATAAATACGACCTTCCCGCTAATGCTAAGCTACACCAAGAACAATAAAAGATCCTTGTGAAATGTAAAAAACTGACACAGACCTTTAGGCCTCAACTTGTTTAATAAACTAGTAGTTTCCATCTAGTCTGACCTCCTGTATAACACAGGACATAGAACTTCCCTACAATAATTCCTAGAGCAGATCATTTAGAAAAACATTGATTCCAGATCCAAACACCGAATTCCTGCTTTTGGTAGTATTGGTGGCTACCAGCACTTTAATAACCACATTGGCTATGCCTTCTCTGAGTAGGTCCAGAGGACATGCTGGTTGAGAAGTGTGTGTACTCACACTCCTACCATTTCTAGCGCCAGTGAAGCTGCACTGATAGTGGCGGAAAAAGAGGAAAAAATCAAATACAGACACAGCTTTATTCACTGAGGTGGGCCCGCCTTCCCCTTTTCCCAGAAGGTGTGACAAGATGCTCTTCTCCCCTGGTACTGTAACCCAACGGAAGGTGGCACAGCAGAGGGAGATTGAGCCCTACTGGTGAAAACTGGAGGCTTTTAAATTGTGTGTTGGCTGGGCTCAAACCCCAGGCAGCCTGTAGTTGAGGGGTACAGATTATAGGGATTATGGAAACAGACAGGAACTCTTTAAAAAAGACAAACCAAATAAGAGCTCTAAAATGCAAAGGCCTTAGCAGACACAGAGTATGCTGGGCTGGAGCAGGGACAGGGAACAAAGATTCTCTGCAGGGCCTATTTCTCAGGCATAATTGCAATTGAACGCATTTGTGGTTTAGCACTGAACATGAGAGCAGGGTGACCCTTCTAAACCTCTTAGTGTCACTGCTGTAGCAACACTGGCCTGCTAGAGAATGCTCATATCTAAGCTTGGCTTCTTGAATTCTAAAATGACAACAAAAAACAAAACAGTGGCTGGCTGTTGAAATTATAATGATGCTTAAAAGAAAGTAACAGCTCTGGATGTTCATTGCAGGCTATGAGATGCTTCCAGTATACTAAAGCGTTGTCTCTGTCAGTCACCCTGTCTCTCACATTGCAGCAGGTGTACAGTTCTCATAGCCCATTCCAATCAAACAACCCTTGTACTAATGCTCTACAGAACCTTGACACAAAGCCTCTACGACCCTTAATATTCTTTATTTAACTGTTTTTCAGCCACCTCCCAGATACACACAAGAGATGGATCCCAATACTCCTGTCATGCTGAAGATGACACACACAATCAGATCCACTGATGCTGACGCCAAGTCTTTTAGTATAAGCTCTTCACTTATGGTGCCTCACTTATTATCCCGCATGGAATCTGTGCCAGCCTGTCCAATTGCTAGATGGCTGACCGTGATTGGGTGATTAATACAGTTAACAAAATAAGACTTTAGCTGAAAAGAACAGTATACTGCACTTTAAAAACACCTATACTTTTATTAATAAGATGGCTTCTGATTGGCTGAAGCGAATCTATATCTGCTCTGTAATCCAACCAGAATGCAGGTCTCCAGTAGCACAAGGAGTAGCTATCACTGCACCGCTCCAACAGCCACATGATATAATAAGTAGTGGACATCAGTCAATTGAGATAACAGAAATAAAGACCTAGCAGCTGAACATTGTACAAGATCAATGTCAATGTCTCCTGCGTTGAAAATAAATGTCTTGGCTTTGCTTGAGCATTAAAGTAACAGCAGGAGACCATTTCAAGTTGCAGTGGGGGAGGTTTAGATTGGATATTAGGAAAAACTTTTTCACTAAGAGGGTGGTGAAACACTGGAATGCGTTACCTAGGGAGGTGGTAGAATCTCCTTCCTTAGAGGTTTTTAAGGTCAGGCTTGACAAAGCCCTGGCTGGGATGATTTAACTGGGAATTGGTCCTGCTTTGAGCAGGGGGTTGGACTAGATGACCTTCTGGGGTCCCTTCCAACCCTGATATTCTATGATTCTATCCTGTAACAATGATCTGTTCCCAGACTCCAAACCTTAATGAAGAGTGAGTTAATTGTATTAAGGAGTTGGGTGAGATTGGATTATCCTGCTTTCCTGCATCTTTCAGAGAAACAAGTTGCATGTTATCCACCAATTTACAGTTACTGGAGAGAGATTTACTCTCTTGCTTGCTTTCAGACTGACTCAGACATGGAGACCACTTGCACCATCAAGTACACTGTCACTGATTTATAAGGTTCTTGTTTTATAGCAGTGTTTAGTGACAGAGGGTGGAGATAATGTTTTTCTTATCCCAATGGTCAGGAAAGTGGACACAAGCAAGCTCTGCAATTCTCAGAGTTAGGCTTTCCCCCACTCCCTGGCAAAAGGACTGGACAGAGACAAGTCATGCTTTAATACTCCTCTGCATACAGCAACTTGGGCTTCAATAGATTGCAAGATTATAGTCGTCCAAGGGAAATGGTGGAAAGCCTATTGCTTAAGAAATTTCAAACTAGACTGGACAACATAGTAGTAAATGTACCGTAGGAAACATGTATTGGCTGGGCAACAGACAAGGTATCTGGTTTAGGTTTTGCTAACAGAAATATCAACTGAGAAGCCACTAGGAGCTGGATCTCTGTCCTTTGATCCAGCAGCTGAGCCTTCTCCCTGCCCCAAACCCAACGACTTCCACCTTTATGTCCAAAATCTCACTTGCCACCATGCAGGGTTGGGATATGGACCTGGAGTGTGGGATAATGCTTTGGACAGAAATGAGTGGAATGGTGGGATTTTGCTTTTCTGGAAGGGTTTTGAATGTGAAATCAGAAGAGACCTCGAGGGGAGACATATGCAGAGATCTGACCTGTCCAATTTTTTTGATGTTCCAAGCTATAAAAACAGCTGTGCAACGGATGGGGAGGGCAGATGAGGGGAGGTTGGTCAGCTGGGAGCCTCTGGAAAAGCAGACATTCCCACGTCACTTACCAAAGCAGAGAGTGTACTCCCTGATACTCCCACACACACACACAGAGGATCTGGCATGTTACCCTCATATCTTCCAGACTCCGCTTCTGACTGACGACGTTCAGGACCAGGGAGGAGACAACAGTGGGAAAGACCAATATTATTTCAAACATCCACCTTAACCTTTGCCGGGAAAGGCTGGAGTGACATCAGGGAGCTCAGAAGAAGTCAGAGAGTCCAGGGGGAGGAGAGAGACTCCCCCACCCCATATGGATTACTGTTCTAACTAAGCA